AAATAGTTGGCCAAACTTTAAGAGCATATTTAACTCATTGTTAAGATGAAAAAAAATTATATAAACATGTTCGGAAACGCTTCCTTTCCAAGTTATAAACATTTTTTTATTTTATACTTATATCCATATTTTATTTTATACTTATATCTATATTTTATTTTATACTATTAGTATATTTTTATGAAATTAGTTCCAAACTAATCTAATATTTTATTAATTTTTAGATGTACCGATTGAAAAACAGACTATACCATCACAAGTATTTGGTAGTTTAAAAGCAGTCCAAACTGAAGAGGATTGAGATTTTAATAAGATAGCATTATGGTTGAATAATATCTATATGTAGCAATTATATTGCTATATAAGATGCTTTTTTTTAAATAGCGGATACTAATCATATAGCGCTATTCCTGATTCAAAATTGAGTCGGAAAATCCTCTACCATTTTGCAATTTTCGCAATAATTGACGAAATATTAATTTCTAAAGATTGCCGAATAAGCGATTACCGAATCATATAATGCTATTCCTGATAAAAAATTGAGGTAATTCTTTGCATTAGCAGTGAATTTTATCAAAACAGTGAATTTGTATTTGTGAAGCAGAGAATTTGTGTAATTAATGCAGAACGTATACATAGCACTGTATAGATTCGAAATGATGGATATCTTAATCTTTAAAATCTCGAGCTTTAACGCTTAATAACTCGATTCACTAGGCCAATCGCCGCGTTTTTTTATCAGATTTCTTCGTTTTAAATGAAAACTCGTCAAATGAGTACATTTTTTATTAAGATTCAAGGGGGGAGGACGCATCTATGTTCAAAATAATTACCAAAATTGAGTTAAAAAATGAAAAGTCTTCTACCATTTTGCAACTTTCGTAATAGTTAATGGTTGGGTAACCGGATACGCGCTTCCAATTCGGCAATTTTTGGAAATTAATATTTTATCAATCATTGTGTGAAAATTGCAAAATTGTAGAGGACTTCCCTACTCAATTTTTAATCAGGAATAACGCTACATGATTAGTGTTTGCTATTTAAGAAACATCCTGTAGCAACTGCAATTAACTAATAATTATAATCTTGTCACTATATTGTTTTGGTTGTAAAATACATTTTTCCATTCTTCTAATGTATTTATAGAATATTATACAGAATTTATCAATTTTTAAATATATTCATAAATAAAACAAGACTGTACAATTTTATATATTAGGGCCACATTTCAATATACATATATAATGCCAGTATTAAAAATCTATACATCCACAAAAAGCGCTATGGTGAATTCGCTCACACTACACTGCGCTACATTCATGGTGGAAGGGATAACATGAGGTTCATTTTTGGTTCCTACACTGGTTACATTAGTTCAAAAGGTGTACTAAAACGTTTTCTGTTCCCATAATTGCGTCAGCGACGGTGTTTTTTGTTCCAGTGCAACAAAACTCAATGCACAAGTTCATTGTACTAACTGCACTAGGTCCGAAGTCAGTAACAAGCAGTACAAGCACTAGTGTACACTATGGGTGGTCTGTTTTTTATTCCTGCACTAGACTGTTCTAGAATTCCCTTTCTCGTTTTAAACAAATATTAAACTGTGGAGACACATCCACCCACACACACACACACACACACACATTCTCACATCCTTCAGTTATACTTCAAC